AAAACCCAACGAAACTTAACCAAAATTCCCATTCACGTAACACAACCCACAAGGTACAAACATATCTACTCAAAATGAAAAACAACACCACAACACACTCACAAAACGGCAAACAAAACTCAAAAAAACCCCAACGAAACTTAACCAAAATTCCCATGCCCATAACACAACCCACAAGGTACAAACATATCTACTCAAAATGAAAAACAACACAACAACACACTCACAAAACGGCAAAACAACAAAACTCAAAAAACCCAACGAAACTTAACCAAAATTCCCATGCCCATAACACAACCCACAAGGTACAAACATATCTACTCAAAATGAAAAACAACACAACACACAAAACTCAAAAAAACCCAACGAAACTTAACCAAAATTCCCATGCACGTAACACAACCCACAAGGTACAAACATATCTACTCAAAATGAAAAACAACACAACAACACACTCACAAAAAGGCAAAACAACAAAACTAAAAAAAACCAACGAAACTTAACCAAAATTGCCATGCCCATAACACAACCCACAAGGTACAAACATATCTACTCAAAATGAAAAACAACACAACACACAAAACTCAAAAAAACCCAACGAAACTTAACCAAAATTCCCATGCACGTAACACAACCCACAAGGTACAAACATATCTACTCAAAATGAAAAACAACACAACAACACACTCACAAAAAGGCAAAACAACAAAACTAAAAAAAACCAACGAAACTTAACCAAAATTGCCATGCCCATAACACAACCCACAAGGTACAAACATATCTACTCAAAATGAAAAACAACACACTCACAAAACGGCAAATCAACAAAACTCACAAACCCCCCAACAAAACTTAACCAAAATTGCCATGCCCATAACACAACCCACAAGGTACAAACATATCTACTCAAAATGAAAAACAACACAACAACACACTCACAAAACGGCAAAACAACTGAGCATGCGCATTGGTGCCCAGCCGCAAGTTCCCTGGCGTGCGCACACAGTTCCCTCTGCGGAAGCCATGCCCACTCCAAGCCCCGCCGCGCCGCTTCCCGCACACACCCCCCCGCCGCACGCACACACACAACCCCACGCTCCATCACTCCCCCCGCCGCACACACACACGCAACCCCACGCTCCATCACTCCCCCCACCGCCACACACACACACGCAACCCCACTCCCCCCCGCTGCCACACACACACACGCAACCCCACGCTCCATCACTCCCCCCACCGCCACACACACACGCGCAACCCCACTCCCCCCCCGCGCCGCACACACACACGCAACCCCACTCCCCCCCGCCGCCGCACACACACATGCAACCCCACGCTCCATCACTCCCCCCGCCGCCGCACACACACACGCAACCCCACTCCCCCCGCCGCCACACACACACACGCAACCCCACTCCCCCCCGCTGCCGCACACACACACGCAACCCCATGCTCCATCACTCCCCCCGCTGCCGCACACACACACACAACCTCACGCTCCATCACTCGCCTGCCCCAATCTTACCTCCTTTTACTTCACGCCACCTCCAAACCCCACCCCGCCCCTTCCCGCCCTGTCAAAATCCAGGAAAGACAGGAAGGAAGGAAAGAAGGAAGAAAGAGAAAGGGAGATAAAGAAAAGGGGGAAGGAAGGAAAGTTAGAGAAAGAAGGAAGAAGAAAAGGAAAGAAAAGGAAAGATGGAAGGAAAGAAAAGAGAGACAGCAGAAGAGAAAGAAAAAGGGGGAAGGAAGGAAAGAGGTAGAGAAGGAAGAAATGAGAGACAGAGGGAGGGAAAGAAAAAGGGGGAAGGAAGGAAGGAGAGAAGGAAAGAAAAAAGGGAATGAAGGAAGGAAAGAGGGAGTGAAGGAAGGGGGAAGATGTAGAGAAAGAGGGAGGGAAGGAAAGAAGGAAAGAGAGAAGAAAAGAGACCAGAAGAGAAAGAAAAAGGGGGAAGGAAGGAAAGAGATAGAAAAGGAAGAGGAGAAGGAAAGATGGGAGGGAAGGAAGGAAGGAGGGAAAGAGGGAAGGTTGACCACAGCAACGCGTGGCGGGTAAAGGTTGTTATTTCTATGATTATTATGATGCTATGATTCTTCCTCTGAGACCCTTTTAGGGGGAATGGGAGAGGTGTCAGGTCCCAGAGGCAATGCATTGCATTATTGTTATTGTTATGATGGTGGTGAAATAAAAGGAAATAAAAAGTGAAAGAAGGAAGCAAACAGGGAGGGAAGAAAGGCAAAGGAAGAAAGGGGGAGGGAATGAAGGAAAGAGAGAAGGATGAAACCAAGTAGTGGAAGAAGGAAAGAAAGAAAGAGGTAGAGAAGGAAGAAAGGAGAGAAAGGGGGAGGAAAAGGGGGAAGGAATAGGTAGGTACCTCTCTTTCATAATAGTCCAGATATCTACCTCAACTTTGATAAGTTTTACTATAGGCCACCGCAACGCGTGGCAGGGCACAGCTAGTATCATGTATATTTGGTGTTAACTGTGTATTGATGTAATTTTGTGTTTGATTGTTTTTATGATGCAGGCATCAAATTGTGCCTTGCTTTTGTAAGCCGCCCTGAGTCCCCTTCGGGGTGAGAAGGGCGGGGTAAAAAAACCCCAAATAAATAAATAAATAAATAAATAAATAAATATCTAGATCTAACACAGTCTGGCTTTAGACCGGGACATGGAACTGAGACAGCCTTGGTAGATGATCTTCGCCTGGGAGCTGGACTGGGGGAGTGTGTCCCTGTTAGTTCTGCTGGACCTCTCAGCAGCCTTCGATACCGTCGACCACAGTATCCTTCTGGGACGCCTCGTAGACATGGGACTTGGGGGTACTGCTCTGCAGTGGCTCCGGTCCTTTCTCGAGGGACAGTCTCAGAAGGTATTACTGGGTGACACCTGTTCGGTCCCACAACCATTGTTGTGTGGAGTCCCACAGGGTTCAATTCTGTCCCCGATGTTGTTTAACATTTACATGAAGCCACTGGGGGAGATCATCCGGAGTTTCGGACTGAGGTGTTAACTCTATGCAGATGATGTCCAAATCTGTCACTCCTTCTCACCTGTTACCAAGGAGGCTGTCCAGACCTTGAACTGGTGCTTGGCTGCTGTGTTGGACTGGATGAGAGCTAACAAATTGAAACTGAATCCAGACAAGACAGAGGTCCTACTGGTCAGTCGTAAGGCTGAACAGGGTATAGGGTTACAGCCTGTGTTGGATGGGGTTACACTCCCCCTGAAGATGCAGGTTCGCAGCTTGGGAGTGATCCTGGACTCATCGCTGAGCCTGAATCCCAGGTCTCGGCGGTGGCCGGGAGAGATTTCGCACAATTAAAACTTGTACGCCAGCTGCGCCCGTACCTTGGGAAGTCAGATCTGGCCACGGTGGTCCACACTCTTGTTACATCTCGAATAGATTACTGCAATGCGTGGGGTTGCCTTTGAAGACTGTTTGGAAACTTCAATTAGTCCAACGGGCGGCAGCCAGACTGCTCACCGGAGCATCATACAGGGAGCACACCACTCCTCTGCTACGTCAGCTCCACTGGCTGCCGATCCAGTTCCGAGCACAATTCAAAGTGCTGGTTTTGACCTACAAAACCCTATATGGCTCCGGCGCAGCGTACCTGTCCGAACGTATCTCCTTCTACGTCCCACCTCAGAGTTTAAGATATCCTGGGGAGGCTCTGCTCTCGGCCCCGGTTTTCTCTCAAACACACTTGGCAGGGACAAGGGACAGGGCCTTCTCAGTGGTGGACCCCCGCATGTGGAACTCAAGCCCTGGGGAAATTAGATCAGCAACATCCCTCCTTTCCTTTATAAGGAAATTAAAAATATGGATTTGGGACCAGGCCTTTGAGTAAGCTGGCAGATGGATAAAAGACAATGATGACCAGAGTAGGAAAGGACAATGACAATGCTGGATGGATTATGGATTTGTGAATTGGCGAACGTTGACCACAAGATGATTTTATTGCTGCTATTGTATTAATTTGATTGTTTTAACTAGTTATAACTGTTGTCGTTATATTGTATTTTGTATATTGTACTAAGTGAACTGTTGGGCATCGAATTGTGCCTTTTGTAAGCCGCCCTGAGTCCCCCCTGGGGGGTTGAGAAGGGCGGGGTAGAAGCACTCCAAATAAATAAATGAATCCCTTCGTCCGTTGTCCATACTCCCTAAACACATTGTTTTTGTGATTAATTACTATGCTTTAATTATGTTCAGTTTGTAAAAATAAAAATACATCCTGCATATCAGACATTTACCTTACAACTCGTAACAGTAGCAGTTATGAAGTAGCAACGAAAATATGGTTGAGGAAGTGTATTTAGGGGTCACGGCATGAGAAAGGTGGAGAACCACTGATCTGGATGAATGAATTTCATTTTGGAGGAGGTCCAGTTCAGCAGCTAGAGAATGGGTTGCGCTTTTGACCACAAAAGGAACAATATATTTGGGAGCCTTGTTTTTCTAAAAATTCTAGGCTACTCCGCGGATTGCAGAGGGTTCAAATCCCCATTTTCCCCTCCTTTTCCCTTGGGATCAGGAACATATTTTTTTTTTCCTGAGTTGGAAGAAATAAAGTATTTTTCTCACAAGACTGACCACTTGCGATAGTCTGCCCATAGAGGTGGTCACTCAGGTTCTGAGTTGGGATGTGAGGAAGCGGGATCTGGCAGGAAATGCTTTGCAACCTGATCCCTTTCTGCGCTGACCACATTGTTAGAAGGCTTCCTTTGCAGAGATTGGGTGACACCCTGAACACACTGCAGTGCAAACAATCTCATGCAGAGAATCTTGGGCCACTCTCCCCTTTGCAGGGCTTGCTCTTTGTTGAGCAAGTGTTAAAGGACTTCTCAGCAGGCCAAGACTCTTCTCAATAGGACCGCTCTTTCTCCCTTCTTCTCCGGCATTGGCTACAGCACCAAGCTATTGTTCTTATTGTTCAATGAGATATTTCTGTGCTCTGCGCCTGATAAGATTTTCCTCTCATTTCTCTGGCAGGTAACCTCTGAATGAACCTTGAGAAGAACACTTCCCTTTGGCTTAGGTCAGGAATGAAATTACACGGCACTCACAAGAAATAAGTTGGAGAAATTATATTTCAAGCTATATACTTGTGCATTCAAGGAGGAAAGGGAGAATTGTGCTGTGAAAAGTGGGGCTTGGTATTTTATTTATTCAAATGGACTAGAGCAATACAAGGACTGAGAAGAGGTAATCAGGAGAACATATCTGTGACCTTCTGGCAGAATATTTGAATCATAAATGCAAAAGAATGGAAAATCATTCCTTGTCAAAACATACTTGTATGAACTGTGGAAAATGTTTCACTGGGAGAAGTTCTCTTACTACACATCAAAGAACCCACACAGGAGAGAAACCACATAAATGCGTAGAATGTAGAAAGACCTTCAGTCGGAGTGGACATCTGCATTCCCATCAAAGGACCCATACAGGGGAGAAGCCACATAAATGCATGGAATGTGGAAGGAGCTTCTCTCACAGTGGAGATCTGCGTAAACATCAAAGAACTCACACAGGAGAGAAGCCACATAAATGCATAGAATGTGGAAAGAACTTCAGTCGGAGTGACAGTCTGCGTACACATCAGAGGACCCATGCAGGAGAGAAGCCACATAAATGCATGGAATGTGGAAAGAGCTTCAGTGAGAGTGGACATCTGCGTTCCCATCAAAGGAACCACACAGGGGAGAAACCACATACATGCATAGAATGTGGAAAGAACTTTTGTTGGAGTGGCAATTTGCGTGTCCATCAAAGAACTCACACAGGGGAGAAGCCACATAAATGCATGGAATGTGGAAAGAGCTTTAGTCGGAGTGGAGATCTGTGTATTTATCGAAGGATCCACACAGGGGAGAAGCCACATAAATGCATGAAATGTGGAAAGAGCTTTATTCAGAGTGGAGATCTGCGTATTCATCAAAGGATCCACACAGGGGAGAAGCCACATAAGTGCATGGAATGTGGAAAGAGCTTCACTGAGAGTGGAATTCTGCGTATCCATCAAAGAACCCACACAGGGGAGAAACCACATAAATGCATGGAATGTGGAAAGAGCTTCCGTCACAGTGTGAGTCTGCATACCCATCAAAGGATCCACACAGGAGAGAAACCACATAAATGCATGGAATGTGGAAAGAGTTTCAGTCAGAGTGGACATCTGCATACCCATCAAAGGACCCACACAGGAGAGAAATCATATAAATGCATGGAATGTGGAAAGAGCTTCAGTCAGAGTGCACATCTGCGTACCCATCAAAGGACCCACACAGGAGAGAAACCACATAAATGCATGGAATGTGGAAAGAGCTTCAGTCAGAGTTCACATCTGCGTACCCATCAAAGGACCCACACAAGGGAAAATGCATTAGACATCAAAGAGCTCACACACAGCTAGAGGAGACCTGCCAGTGTGTTTCCAAGAGTCCCAGGAAGAAAAAAAATTGGGATGATGGACCGAAAAAAGAAGGCTGCCCACTTTCTCTCTGTCTGTCATGTGCAGCAGTTTGTGTGGTCTGGCTTGACTGGTTTTGTGTTCAGGACTCCCACAGAGGTGGATTTTTCTCTGTGTTGTAGCCAGTTTGGAAGGGGTTAACCTGATCTTTTCCTCCTCAAGAAAAGCATTGCAGGCTTCTGGGATGATCTGGGAAGGCTTTCTGAAATGAGCAGCAGCTGAGATCTCATGACAAAAGGGTTCTGGAAAGGAACAGTTCCTTTTTAGCAGATAACATTGTACATCTTGCCTGGATCTTGGCTCTGCTGCCCCTCGGTTTGAATTCTGGACTTTGGCCTTGTTCCTGTCATCCTGTTCTGGACTCTGTTGTACCCTGAGTCATTGTTGACTTCAAATTCTGGACTGACTACTTGGCTTGATTTATGGACTTGGACTTCAGTTTGCATCTTTGCCTCTCTGGCTTGAATTTGGAGTTTTGACTTTGGTTTGTAATCTTGCATTCTTGATAGTTATTTTATGAACTGTGGTGAATGCATTCCTGACATCTGACTGTTGGACTGTGACCTTGGCAAATATTTGTGTATTTGTAAATTATGTGGTCATACTTTTAATTGTAAACCGCTTTGGGTCTCCTTCGGGAGAGATTCAACGGGGAGTAAATAAAAATAATAGTAATAATAATATTGATGCCTGTTTAGAGGAAATCTCCTGTAATAACAACAACTACAACTTCTTTATTTTTATCTCACCCTATCTCTCCGAGGGGACTCAAAGGCGGTTTACAAAAGGAATTTTGGCAAGCAAAAAAACCCCAAATCAAATTATAAACAGTAAATGAATAACATCAAAATATAAGTATAAAATAACCCAAACTATATTAAATAGCCCAAACTAACAAGATTAAAATTTATACAACACTAGCTGTGCCCTGCCACGCGTTGCTGTGGCCTATAGTAAAACTTATCAAAGTTGAGGTAGATATCTGGACTATTATGAAAGAGAGGTCCCTACCTATTCCTTCCCCTTTTCCTCCCCCTCTCTTCCTCTTTCTTTCTTTCACTACTTGGTTTCTTTCTTTCACTACTTGGTTTCATCCTTCTCTCTTTCCTTCATTCCCTCCCCCTTTCTTCCTTTGCCTTTCTTCCCTCCCTGTTTGCTTCCTTCTTTCATTTTTATTTCCTTTTATTTCACCACCATCATAACAATAACAATAATGCAATGTATTGCCTCTGGGACCTGACACCTCTCCCATTCCCCCTAAAAGGGTCTCATAGGAACAATAGCATAATAATAATAATAATAGAAATAACAACCTTTACCCGCCACGTGTTGCTGTGGCCAATCTTCCCTCTTTCTCTCCTTCTTTCCCTCCTTCCTTCCTTCCTCCTCCCATCTTTCCTTCTCCTCTTCTTTCTCTACCTCTCTTCCTTCCTTCCCCCTTTTCTCTTCTTTCTCTTCTCTTCCTTTCCCCTCTTTCTCTTACTTTCCTTCCTTCCTTCCCCCTTTTTCTTTACCTCCCTTTCTCTTTCTTCCTTCTTTCCTTCCTTCCTGTCTTTCCTGGATTTTGACAGGGCGGAAAGGGGCGGGGTGGGGTTTGGAGGTGGCGTGAAGTAAAAGGAGGTAAGATTGGGGCAGGGGAGTGATGGAGTGGGGTTGCATGTGTGTGTGCGGCGGCGGGGGGAGTGATGGAGCGTGGGGTTGCGTGTGTGTGTGCGGCGGCGGGGGGAGTGATGGAGCGTGGGGTTGCGTGTGTGTGTGCGGCGGCGGGGGGGAGTGATGGAGCGTGGGGTTGTGTGTGTGTGTGCGGCGGGGAGGGGGAGTGGGGTTGCGTGTGTGTGTGCGGCAGCGGGGGGAGTGATGGAGTGTGGGGTTGCGTGTGTGTGTGCGGCGGCGGGGGGAGTGGGGTTGCGTGTGTGTGTGCGGCGGCGGGGGGAGTGATGGAGTGTGGGGTTGTGTGTGTGTGTGCGGCAGGGGGTGTGTGTGTGCGGGAAGCGGCGCGGCGGGGCTTGGAGTGGGCATGGTTTCCGCAGAGGGAACGTTGGCCGGAAGGCCATGTGCGCGCGCCAGGGAACTTGCGGCTGGGCGCCAATGCGCATGCTCAGTTGTTTTGCCGTTTTGTGAGTGTGTTGTTGTGTTGTTTTTCATTTTGAGTAGATATGTTTGTACCTTGTGGGTTGTGTTATGGGCATGGGAATTTTGGTTAAGTTTTGTTGGGGTTTTTTAGTTTTGTTCTTTTGCCATTTTGTGAGTGTGTTGTTGTGTTGTTTTTCATTTTGAGTAGATATGTTTGTACCTTGTGGGTTGTGTTATGGGCACGGGGAATTTTGGTTAAGTTTCGTTGGGGGATTTTTGAGTTTTGTTGTTTTGCCGTTTTGTGAGTGTGTTGTTGTGTTGTTTTTCATTTTGAGTAGATATGTTTGTACCTTGTGGGTTGTGTTATGGGCATGGGAATTTTGGTTAAGTTTCGTTGGGGGGGTTTTGAGTTTTGTTTCCTCGTTGGATGCCCCTAACAAATTTATATATATAGATAACATTTAAGATACTAGAGCTTTACTAGAGCTTTTTATCTATGTTAATTTTATCAATATCTGTATGTATGTATTTTTATCCTTTACAATTTAGCTTGTAAATCATCTAGAGCATCTTAGATGGAGGGCAATTAATAAGTAAATGATGATGATGTTGATGTTGATGATGATGATGACACATTTAACGAATAAATAAAATAATATTGAGGAATTGAATATAAAAGGTGTAAGCTGATTTGTGGCAAGTCAACAGGGATGAGGGAGAACTCCTCTATCTGAGTCAGAATAGAGTTAATAAAGTGCTCATCCTCCTCCTCCTCCCCATAAACTAGAGCTCATAAATAAGTTTTTAAAAGATTCCTGAAGGAGAGGGGGGAAGGGGCCATGTTTACTTCTTTCATGAGGGAGTTCCAGAGGTGGGGAGCGGCCACGGAAAAGACCCCTTCTGTCGTCCCCACCAACCACGCTTGAGATGAGGGTGGGACTGAGAGAAGGGCCTCCTCTGCAAACCACAGCGCCCAGGGCGGTGTGTATTCGGAGATGCGGCTTTGTATATAGTCTGGTCCTGAACCATTTAGGGCTTTCTGGGTAATGACCAGCACTTGTATTTAGCCCAGAAGCAGATAGTGGAGCTGCCCTAATGTAGGAATTGTCTGTTCCCTGTACGGTGCTCCAGTACCTGGCTGCAGATCTCTGGACCAATTGCACCTTCTGTACTACCTTCAAAGGCAGCCCCACGTAGAGAGCCTTGCAGTAATCCAGCAAAGATGTGTACTGCCATGGCCAAATCTGGCATCTCAAGGTATGGACGCATTGGCGCACAAGTTTTAATTGTGCGAAAGCTTTCCTGGCCACCCCCAATACCTGGGGTTCCAGGGTCAGCGATGAGTCCAGGATCACCCCCAGACTGCGAACCGTGTCTTGAGGGGAGTGTGACTCCATCCAACACAGGCCGTCATCCCACACCCTGATCCGCCTCCCAACTGACCAGGAGTACCTGTGTTTTGTCTGAACTTACTCTCAACTTGTGAGCTCTCACCCAGTCCATCACTGATGACAGGCACTGGTTCAGGAGCAGGGTGGCATCCTTGGCTTTGGGTGGAAAGGAGTGATAGAGTTGGGTGTCGTCGGCATACATTTGACACCAAACTCCAAAACTCTGGATGATCTCTCCCAGCGGTTTCATGTAAATGTTAGATAGCCTGAGGGAGAACCTTCAACCCTGAGGGACACCCCCGGCCAGGGAGTCGAACAGGAGTCCCCACCCCCAGCAACCACCACCTGGGTCTGACCTTCCAGGAAGGACGGCTTGCTATCTGCCATTGGTCAGAGGCCTTGCCATAATTGTCTGCGTATGTAATCCACCACCATCCCTGTTGTGTGAAGTTCTCATTGTGTTTGTGAGTATATGAAGAGAAGACCTGTAAATAGTTACAAGTAGCAGATAAATCAAGCCTAGAACCTCCATGGACTTTGGATGAAAGTAAATATGACTGTACAATTAATGTCACTGTTTATGGTTTTATATTGTTGTTATTGTGTTATTGCGGCATCGAATTGTTGCCAGTGTTAGCCGCTCTTTGTCCCCCCTCGGGGGTTGAGAAGAGCGGGGCAGAAATGTTGCCAATAAATAAATAAAAGTCAGAACACAAGAGTGTTGATTCCAAGAGATGAGCTACTTTACAAGGCCAGAGGCTGTGACACTGTGACCAGGACTCTGCGGTGTTTTGGGGGTTGGAATGAACTACTTGCCTATGAGACAGTCTGTCCTATTGCAAAGCTGGAGGAGGCCATGAGAGGATTGCATTCACGTGCCTGCCTAGCAAGGGAGTTGTACGTGTTTGGACTCTGCTTCTCCTTGTCCTCCACCCCTCACTCACACTGACAAAGTGTGCAGGCCTCACCTAAACAATAGAAAGAATGTCCTGATGGGAAGAGCTGTTCAGTAGTGGAGTCTGCTCCCACCGGGAGTCCATAAGAGTCTCCTTTGGAGGTTTCTAAGCAGAGACGGCATGACCATCTGTTGGGTGTTCTTTGGTTGGTTGATCCTGCATGGTCTGATGAGGATTGGCCCATCCGCACACAAGCAGACCTGACCGGGAGGAGGAGGAGGAGGAGGAGGAGGAGGAGGAGGAGGAGGAGGAGGAGATGTGTGTCCTTCAGCCATGACACCCTTGACCCAGTGGGTCGTGGAGTCCATCCCCGTTCTGCTCCAAGCAGCATCTCCAGCGAGAGCATCCTCCGCAGGTCGCTCTCCGGCCTCTTTTTGGGGTCATCCAGGGAGAGGAACCCCCTCCTCTCTCGGCCCTTGCCTTCTCACCCAATTATAAGAATCACAGAATAGTAGACTTGGAAGAGACCACGTGGGCCACCTAGTCCACCCTCTTCTTCCATGCCGGAAAAGCAGAATCCCTTGGCAGAACTCCAGCCGCCAGGTGAGCAAAGGCACGCTCAAAATCCCACTGGCTATTTCTGCTGTTGGCGCATCACACTCTTGGCTCATGTTCCACTTGCTGTCCACTCAGACTCTTCCGAGATCTTTTCCGCGTGTCACTCTGTTGCCGAGCCAGGCACAACCCATCCTGTCTCTGTGGATTTCCCTTCTTTCTGCCCAAGTGAAGTCTTCTCCTGGTTGGAATTCATAGTGTGAGTGTTGACCCAGCGTTCTCCTCTGTTGCGGTCACTGTGGATTCTGGTCCTCCTTCTGGAGTCCTCGCTCTCCACCCTTCAGGGCTGGTCACTTCCCTGATCACAAACCCACCTCACATTCGTATTTTCTAGTCCACGTTTGACTCGTGTGTTTGCCAGAAGAAGATCATGGGGGACCTTGGCAAAGGCTTTCCTGTTTTTGTATCATGTCAGAAGCGACAAGAGGTCACCCCATCTCGCAGATTCGAACCAGCAACCTTCAGGTCAGCAACCCAATGTTCAGGTCAGCAGTCCAGCCAGCACAAAGGCTTGACCCATTGCGCCACTGCGGTTCCACAAAGGCCTGACTGAAATGAAGAAACTCACTCTCACGGCCAAGAAATTCCTTCTAACACTCAGACACCATCCCTTCTTCTCCTTTCACTCCAAACCACTCCATCTGGTCCTTCCCATTGAGGCAGCAGAACTGGATCTCTCTTCCAATGAAGCACCCGTTGTGTGGAAGGGTTGAACGGGCAGACGGATATACGAGGAACACACATTCAGTTGGAACTGAAGGAGGAGGTTTGGAGAAAGAGTTTGAATTCTCCTTTGGAGGATGGTTGGAAATATTTTTAATGCAATGATGTCTCAGTGGAACTTGGTGCCAAAGAGGCTTTCTCCGACGTCAAGGGGAAGTTCTAGGAAATGGTGGAAATGCGAGGAGAATGTTGGGGCATTTCGTTCCCGGGAAGTGGAGTGGGCAGGTCAAAAGGCAACCTGGCAAAATGGGACAACCCAGAAGAATCCTCCACTGTGTGCTTGTCCACAGGGTCCTGCCTCGTGCACAGAGGAAGAAGGGTTCAGGGCTA